CAAATACCTGGAAAAGCTATAAAAACATGCTAGATTATGCTCTGAAGAGTAAGCTGAAAGTTCATCAGGCAAATAAAAAAGGAAAGGTAAAGGAGACAGCATGAGCCTGTTTGCTAACAGATCAGTCATGGTTTGAGCGAGCAGAGCACAGCACTGGGAGAGCAGACAACTAACCGTGACGATGAAAAATTAGGACAGGAGTTTTAGCTCGGTCCAACAGACAATGGGAATCTTTAAAACAGGGAATAAAACAATACTGGTATTTTTAGAAACATAACTGGAGATGGTTTACAGAACGATAAATGGGATAGGAGAGATTGGCTATTACAGTTGTGAATGAGGAAGGATTGAGAAAGTAGCAAGGAGGGCAGACAAATGCTTGAGAAATTTCAGAGAAAGAGACAGGAGTTGATACTTGACTAGATGTAAAATGAGAGAATTAAACAAATACTAAGTAAATGAAAGGGAGAAGACAACATAAAGACAAACATAATAATAAATTTAATAGTGCCTTAAAACTCAATGGTTTAAGTGTAGACTGTCTCTCAGAATTTACGCTTATTAAGCATTGTCTAACTATGTATTAAATGTAAAACAGCAAAACATATATTTTTTTAAATTACTGGGATTGGTATGTAAAACAGCTAACACTAGATATCCAAAACTGACACCTTCTAATTGATGCAACTAAGTAAATAACAGGAGAAAAGGGTATCAATCTTTTCAAAAGTCAAATTTGATCATTTAACCTGATCGTATCAGAAAAAAAATTTTTTTAATTTTAAATACAGCGATCACGTTACCGCTCACAAATCTGAGGTTAAAAAAATGATCATTTTCCTTTAAGATATCAAAAATCTATGTGATACTACTAAAAAATATATGGTCTTACATCAGGCTCCATAAAGTGAAGGTTCTTGTGTCAATACAGAAGGTTCATGCATTCTCATTTTGCTCTTCTTTTCAATACCATCCATCACAAACCATATTAACCCTTTTTATTCAACACAACTGAAACTAATGACATTAACGAAAACAGTAGGTTGCAGTGGGGAATCTGAAAAAAATAAATTACCCCTTCAACATTTTCTTTGAACTTGAAACCTATACATGTATATTCTGTTGCGAGTCTTCTGATGCAGGCCTTCTGAGTTACAGATCCACTGACTATAGTTGTGATCTCACATAAACCACACCCATAGTGCATCGGCCACAATTTCTAGTTTCAACTTCTTTAAAAGTGAAGCGAGACTTAAGTGATACTTGTCAAAGACCTAAATGAAGAATTCTTCCAGATTACAAAAACCAAAAATTTATAAACATTTATAGGTATCTCCTTATTGGCTCCCCTTATAGTTTTTCCAAGGCAGTTAACTTAGTTTTCACAAAATCAACAATTCTTATATTTTGCAATTATTATTGCAAAATTAATCATTATTGGCTTACAAATTTTTTTTATTAAATTATATAATTATAACACAAGTGCAAGTTGTAACAATGTGATCCTTGGTAAGTCTAGAATTCAACCAGCCAGGGCAATGCAGTGGGCATCAGCAGGTCTCGCAAAAAGAGAACAGAGGTTTATTAAGACTAGTATCCCTGTTACAAAAGATTTAAATTCACTTATCGCCTTTATTGTATTTGGAACAGTACCTAGCACTTAGTAAGTACTGTGTAAGTATTTATTACTATATTAACATTAAAACTAAACTAGCTACAAGGGTGCCTGGCTGGCTCAGTCAGAAGGGCATGCGACTGACTCTTGATCTCAAGGTCAGGAGTTTGAGCCCCACATTGGGTGTAAAGATTACTTAAATTAAAAAAGAAGTAAAACCTTAAAAACAAAAACAAAAACCTAAACTACCTACAGATAAAATGCCTGCAGGGGTACAATTCTACCTACTTCACATAGCCTCTGGAATCACAGAAACTCCCTGGACTTAAATTGTCAAAACGGGGTGCCAGGCTAGCTACAAAACGGTGGAGCATACGACTACCGATCTTGGGATTGTGAGTTTGAATACAGAGATTACTTAAAAGAATAAAATCTTAAAAGAAAAAAAGAGACAGAGAAAGCATAGTAGGGAATGAATACAAGCTACAATAGGTCCTCACTGAAAACACGTGAATATAGGGTAGAGTCAGTTTCACATAACTAGAAGTGGCTTATCCAGTGTAAGGGAAGAGATCCTAAAAAAAGAAGTAGGATAGCTCACCTACCAGGTCAGCAAGAAATGAAAAAGCAGGTTCACAAACCAATTTAACCTTATCACCTCAAAAATGCTAAAAAGATGGTTACATGTCCTCCAAAAAAAAAAAAAAGAAAAAAAAAAAAAGGCAGCTAGATACAGAAGAAAAACCAACTATATTTTCTCGGTACACATTAGGCTACTTTCCTCTATCATCATGACAGAAAACCCCAACCTCTTAAAAATCTACAAAGTGCATCCCAAGGCACAAAACAAACCCTTTTGGTTTACCAGTTATTATAAATTAAATATGCTAAAAGAAACAGAAACTGGGTGCATTTAAGTGCAAGAAAATTTTACACTTGTGGGTTAAAATCCTACACATAAAAGCAACATAGACATAAATAATAAGTATGGTGGCTTTTGACCATTTCGTTTTAGTCTACGTTTTGTGATGTAGATCTAATTTGCAGGTGTAAAACACCTGAAGCAACATGACAAAAGATCTATTAACAACCAGGAAGTTCAAAGACTGCAGCTACTTAAAACACCCTTGTCCACTAGGAAAGAATCCACAATGGCACTAACTTTCTTCCTTCTATGGACATCAAAAGTACTGAAAATGTTATGAATAGTTAGGAGAGACTCCAGAGACAGCCCCTGAGGCTGCAGCAGTGCCACTAGATGGCACTGTCACAGGAAAGTCACTCTGCTCTCCCATTTGAAGCAAGGGCTGAAACTGAAAACTATCGACTCGGTGACATCCTCATTGGGAAATGATGACCCATGATGAGGAATTCAAAGCTAGGAGGAGGAGCTTTTCTCAAAGCACCTTTTTGCCCAGGACATGGCCGCCGCCTCCTCAGTCCTATTTCAAATCAGTGGTCTGAGGGATACAATGTCTTACAGGCAAAAGAAGTTATACAAAATGGAGATTTCCTTTTCTTCTTCCTAACTCCAAACTACAGAATATTTACTTGCTTCCCCCCACCCCCGCCAAGTTTCTTTGCTATGGGAAAAAATAATAATAATAATAATAATAATCCCTTCCTAGTCCTTGGATAGTATTTATTAAAATCAATATACTATGACTAAAAACATCAAAATAACATACAATTAGTGGCATAAAAACATTTGGATTTAAATAAACTTCCTTATATATAGAACAGGAAGAACTTCCTATTAAAGAGATTAAGTTTTCCAAACCTTAATTACACAGTTTTAAGTTAGGCCTGGGCAGCAAGATTCACAATGTCAATTATCGCCATCACTTATGCTCCTCCACCCCATCAAAAGTATACTTGGATATAGCTATCATGACCTTAAAAACTGAAAAGAAAGACATAGAAAAACAAAACCCAATGAGTTTAACTACATACAATTTGAATACAAACTTACTTTTACACCATAGGTGACCACTTGAACAGGCAGTTTGGATACAAACCTTGTGCTGAATCCCCAAATTAAAAGACACATAATCAATTTAATCCAGAGATCAATTTAATACTCAAACATACTGCTCACTTCCAGTTGAAGCTACTTCTCCTAGATCAGAGAACTTACATTTACACTTGTATCTTCAATATGTATCAACAGTCAGTACGGTCTCTCCAAAGCACCCTAAGTGCCACGTTAATGAAAGCAGCTGAAGAAACCAAGAACTACAAAATGTGCAACAAATCCTGTGTTTCCATAGCACCTTGTCACGGCTCTAATCCAGATCTTACCAAGGAACCATCTCTCTCTCGCTTTCTCCATAGCAGAGGCTTAGAGGCATTGAGCTGAGATGTCATTCCTCACGCCCTGCACAATGTCTAGTATGCGGAAGGCACTCAGTATATGTTGAATGACCAAAAACTAACAACCTACTCCAGCTCACCAAAATTATAAGACCCCCTAAAAGCAGCCAGTTTTTCCAACTAAACCTCAACCAACACCTTCTCCTTTAAGAAGCTACTAACCAAAGCATGAAACTAACACTTAGGTCTCCAGGAGAAATACGATTTCTTGAAAAACACAGACAGAAATGGATCACGTGAAGTCAAAGATCAAAAATTCACAGGTCTCAAGCCCCATTAATGCAACGATCTTAGAACGGTGAAGCTTTTAAATAAAACATCATAAATATATTTTACATACTGTATTAATATCACAAGTATTTTGTACTAAAACAGTCCTATGAGAGCAGAGGAGTGAACTACATAAGGACGCAGAGAAAGCCATAACATCACTTAACATAACCACCTGGGGGCTTGATCTTACTTTATATTCCCAGAACAAAAGTAGTGAACGAGAAGGAAAAATAGGAAGAAAGAAAGCAGTCTGGGGGTGCAACCAGAAGGAATCTGCTGAGCGGCAGATTTGGAGAACTGACAAGCAGCAGAAGCAGATTTTTCAAAACTCTTATCATAGACCTATCCAAAAAATCTACTGTAATGAATCTATGCCAACACCTTTTCATTAAGTGTTTTTTTTTTTAATGACTGAGTTGTTTTGACAAAATATGGCACAAAATCTAGATACACATCCCATTAGTATCCTTGCAACAAGACCCATGGGAAACCTCTCCTATATTAAGAGGGGAAAGAGAAGCATATAGTTCCATTTAGAATCCCTTCAAACATACCCTTAAATTAGTGGAATGACTGGTAGGAGCTTAAAAGTTCACTGGAACCTGTGAGCCCGTCTCCCCTACAATCTACCAGTATGGCCCACCCAAATTGATCTTAACTGTTTTCTAAAAGTGTTTCAATTTGACTATGAACTGTGCTCATTATGGTCATTTTACTCACCTTACTAACGCCAACCCCTGTAAACCTGGCCTCTAATAATTCCTGCCGTCGAGGGTCCAGGCTATGCAATTCTTCCATCATTTCTACTGGAAAAGAAAAAGTAGGTTGTGAGACCATAAAAGCTAAAGCATGAGGCACTAATTTTTACTTAACAACAAAACGTAGTCATTATTTCATTAAACGGTCACATACAGGTAAATGTCAAGTAAATACAGCATACAAGCGATAAACTACAATGCACTGCATCAAACAGTAATACATTTAAAGGTAAAAGTAGCTCAGAAGTTCTCTTCTGAGGGCTACTATATCCCGGGCTAGTTCTGATTTTTAGGAGCAAACAACCTCAAACCCCTCATATAATCTCAGTAAAAGTTGAACAAGGACTAACTTGCAAAACAACAACAGCAAAAATTCCTTCCATCAACCTTTGAATTTAACGAGGTACTTTCGGGTATTTGTTTCCCAAACCCACCGGAACTAGTTCTTGAACTAAAAATATGAATCATTAATAATCACTTAAAAATAATGCAGCATGAATCAGAAGCTACAAATAACTTCAAATAATGCTATTCTACAGCTCCTTTCTCTGAAGAGCTCACAGTAGCTCCTGAAAAAAAAAGGAATTAATTATTTCAAATTTGAGAGAGAACCCATGGTAAAACCATCAAGCAGCATTCACTCAGGAAATGAGCAGAGCTCCACAACCATCCCTTTACAAAATCTTTTTCTGACCACTCCCTGGAGCAGTAGGTGCCTCTAGACATCTGCTTTTAGCACTCCTTCCAAGCAGGGAAGGGCAGGAGGACACCATTTTTAAACTCCTTCCACAACCAATAAATGCACAGGCTACTTTCAGCAAATACGTCCATCCATCGCAAGAGATGAACTCTTGCAGAACCCACTGGAAACCTAACATTAAAAGTGGACTAGGAACATAGCCCATTACACTGAACCCCTTTGAACATATTATTAAACAGCGATTGGAATGATTGGCATGATTTAAAAGTTCACTGGGAACATGAATTAAACATTCTCCTCTGCAACCTAACAACTCCACATTCACTGTAACAGCCCCTACCAGTCTTCCAGTTTCATTTCCCTTCCTGGATTGAGAGCCTGGGGCAAAGGGGAATGAAAGGGTGACAAATTAAAGTTTCACCCACACAACCGAGTGCAGGTTGGCGGGGGAATAAGGAAATCCTCGAAAAGGCAGAAAGGCATCCTAAAAAAGAAAAAGAAAGGAAAAAGGGGACGCAGTGTGCTTCCCCGAAGTGGCCTTCCTCGCGTCTCCCCTGCCCTAATCAAGGCCGGAATGGCAGAGGTTGCAGCCTCCCTCAAACCCTGGGGTCTCCCGGAACATTTCCCAAGCCTCCATCCCCAGGCCTGGCCCGGAAAATGACGCCCCAGCGCTTATTCCATTTAATGTCAACTCATGTTAAGGAAATCTCCACTCTGTCTCATTCCAGCGGGGCCTTGGACTGGGATCCTCCCTGCAGCCCACAGCCGGGAAGCAGAACCGATGGGGCCTGGTCCCCGCGCCCCTTGCCTCCCGCCGGCTCCAAACTTTCCCCAACTCCAGGCCCACCTGTCACGGAGGGAGGGCGGGCCGGCTCTCGGGGGCGCCCGGGAGGCTGCCGGGGCCTCCAGCTGCCGGGGCGTCCCCTTCGCCCTGCCGGCCGCCGGCCCCACTCCCAGGCCGGGGCCGCCTGGGCCTCCCCCATCTTCAGCCCGGCCCCTCGGCGACCCGCAGCCCTCGGGGAGCCCCTCCCGCCTCAGCGCCGAGGAGCTGCAGCCCGGCGCCGGCCCCCGGGTGGGCCCGGGCCGCAGCCTCCTCAGCTGAGGGGGGTCCCCCGGACGGTTAATGCCCCAGGCCCGGCGCCCTCCCCCGCCCGGGGCTCAGCCTCTCACCTGCCGCCGCCGCCGCCGCCGCTCCACGCTCCTCCCGGGAGGGGCCCCGACCCGACCCGGCCGCGGACCGCTCCGCTCTCCCCCTGGGCAGGCCCGGGGCGGAGCCGGGGCCTCTCCTGAGCGCCGCAACCCCCCGCCCGGGCAGCCGCCGCCGGCGCTGGGCTCCACGAGAGGGCGGGCGGGGGAGGGGGGCCGCGGAGGCCGCAGATCCCCGGGCTCGCGTACAGAGCCAGGCGCCCGACGCGGGCCCGGGCCCGGGCGGCCGCGGGGGGCGCGGGACCGGCCTCCTGGCGCCGGACAAAGGCCAAGGGAGGCGCAGGAGGGCCCAGGCCGGGCCGGGAGGTGGGGGCCTGCTCGGCTGGGGGCCACTCGGGTGCGGCGCTGAGGGCGGGGGGGGGGGTCGGAACCGCTGGTGCCCAGGACCCGCCTCCGGCCCCTTAATCCGGATCGGTTCGGTCCGGATTAGTAGTGATCGGTGTAAACACACTAGTGAAACCGCGTGTTTCCTCGCGAGATTTGCACGGCTGGGAGGTAGGGGGGGTCCTGGGGGGGGTGGGGGAAGAGCCGACAGTGGGGGAGGAGGGGGAGGGGACGAGGAAGGTGGGGGGGTCCCCGCTGCCCCGGCGCCCCGCCTCCTCCAATCAGCGGCCAGGCTGGCGGGCAGGGGTTAACCAGGGGACCCCGCGCCGGCGGAGGAGGCCGCCGCCTCGCCGGGCGGCTGAGGGCGGGCGCGCGAGCGGCGCCGGCGAAGGGCCGCCCCGAGCCCGACCCGGGCCGGACTCCCGGAGCCCCCGCAGCCGTCAGTGTGTGACCGGCCCCATCCCGCGGGACCGGCCCGGCCGAGGCGGTTGGGCCGGCACCCTGGGCCGTGAACCGACGCTGGAGGGGCCTCGCCACCTGGGCCGGGTGCTCTCCGGTCCGCCTCGCCGGACCCGGCGCCCGCCTAGTCAATCGTCTCCACGAGTTTGGGTGAGAAGTGGGCTCGCTCTGCCCGGGGATGGATTTTAGAGGAAGAAAGCCCGAGAGCCGGCGGACCCCGCCCGAACTTCCTCGGAGACGCCCAGTTAGTGAGTTCGCTGTGCCCACCGTGTTGGCTCCTCGCACTCCCCGCCACTCTGCAAAGGGACTTTTCGGCTACCCAGACCCCACACTGGCCGCCCCGGAAAGCGGACAGCACTTTCCCTCTACATACCTGGCTGGCAGAGGGCGCCTCTAGGGACAAAAGGTGCCCTGGGATCAAAGCTGAGCCCCCACCCCCGCCAGGATACTGCCCTCCGGAAGGGGGGGGGTGCTACCCAAAGGGACTCCCCGGGCACCCAGGGGGAGGTTCCATTTCAACCTCTGATCAAAAAAAAAAAAAAACCCACGGCCCTCCTGGGTACGTAGCAGGACCTGAGGGTAAGTACTAGAATGGAAAAAACAGGCCTGCCCTTTACCGAAGGTCTACTGAGGAATGAGAAATAGGAAGGGGTGCGCTCCTGCGCGCAGTAGCCCCTGTAGCAAGGAGGGCTTCCTGAACAGGAAAAGGCTCCCCCTCTCATCACCCAGCACCAAGGAAAAGAAGCACATTCTCCACCGACTCCTGGGAGCCAGGACACCGACTGCAATGCCAATACCCAACTTTGTATTTTCCCCTAACACTTCCTTGACCAGGCGTCTGAAGATGATTTAAGGAATACGAGTGAATCACAAGGGGGAAAGTTCAGACAATGAACAACAGCCTTGGACTTTTTCAGGGGGTAGGCAATTACTTCAAGTGGAGTTTTGCCTTTTTTTCCTTACTTGTTTTTTTTATTTCTTGTTTCTTGCCATATTAACAGAACACAGACCTGCCGAAAGGGCAAAGAACCGCAGTTTACTTTTTGTTAGTTGTGTGACCTTCCAAACCCTTGGGCAAATTCAGGCACTGTGGGAAAAAATCCATTAAACCAAGAGTCACCTTGCCCCTGATCCCAGCCAGGTTGGAAAGTGCACACACGTATTTCCAAAGATAACAGTGTTTTAAGGGGAGGGGGAGACCCAGAAGGGGGCAGAGAGTAGGGGAAAAAAAGGTCAAGGTGAAGGGCTCTCAAGAGAGCAGGAGAACCAAGGGTCGGATAGTATACAAATGACTTGCCTTCCACTCCAACACAAAAGACCAGCAAATTGCATTCTAATGAATGATCAAGAAAGTAACTCCTTAAAATGACACTGAAATGTCTTAAGTGGGGAGAAAAGAGTTTAAGAGAAAGAGCACTGGACAGAGAGCTGAGTTCTAGCCTGGCTGTTCCACAGACAAGCCATATGGACCTGTTACCTAAACTTTTCAAGCTTTGCCAACCTCATCTGTGAAGGATCCCTTTCCAGACCTAAAAGGCTATGATTCCATTTTTTGAAGTAATTATTCAGAGGGTCCCTGGGTGGCTCAGTGGGTTAGGCATCCAATTTCGGCTCAGGTCATGATCTCACATTTGTGGGTTCAACCCCTGCATCAGGCTCTGTGCTGACAGCTCACAGCTGGAGCTGCTTGGTATTCCGTGTCTCCCTGTCTCTCTGCCTCTTCCCCTCTCATGCTCTGTCTGCCTCTGTCTTAAAAATAAAACATTTTTAAAATTTTTTAAATAATTATTTAGCATAATCATTGGAATACAGGGAAAGGTGTTACTTTCAGTTTCACTTTTCCAAGTGTATTTTCTCAGCATGTCAAAGAAGGTCCACTGCCATAGTCCTGTTCACAGCCACACTCTAGATTTAACACTCATCCCAGTAGGAATTGCTTATAGGAATTTAATGAATTTGCTTACCACAAAGATTTGATGCTTCTATTTATAAGCATCATGTAAATGAAGATATCAAATATCAACAGCAAGGGAAAATAACCTTACCCTTTCCCAGAGTAAGATGGGCAAATTTTTTAAGTTTATTCAGAAGAGAAGGGGCGGGGGATGGGGTGGGGGGGGAGCAGAGGGAGAGAGAATCCCAAGCAGGCCCTGCACACAGCAAGTACAGAGACCAACACAGCCAGAATTCACAAACAGTTCATGATCTGAACTGAAACCAAGAGTCAGATGCTTAACCGACAGCCACCCAGGTACCTCAAGATGGGCAATTTTAAAATAAATTCTCTTGTCCGATGGTACCACTCACAATGTGATTAAACCTTTGGTTCCTGAATCAACGTGTTTACGATATGTTTGCTCACATGGTAACTTTGTCAGACTCTGCTTGTCACAGACTGGCAAATGGTGACATGTCCCGTGCAAAGGCCCAGTGGCTGTGGGAAGCTCAAACACGGATCCAAATAGAAACTACACGTTGTATAAGCTGCTCCTTCCTGTCTTCAGGGGAAGGTATGACAGCTCCTCCAGGTTTATGTTCATAGTCACAGAGAAGACCATGGAGCTGGTTGGACATGCCTCCAACTAGTTCTGGTCCTCCGCAAGGAATGCTCTGCAAACCTCAATAGGTTAATATGCTTTAAAGGGAACCAATGTACATTGGTCCTTGGGAAACTCTTGGTTAAAGCTGAGGGAAATCCGTTGGGGCACCTGCGTGGCTCAGTCAGTTAAGTGGCTGACTCTTGATTTGGGCTTGGGTCATGGTCTTGCAGTTTGTGAGTTCAAGCCCCGTAGGGCTCTGTGCTGATGGTGCACAGCCTTCTTGAGATTCTCTCTCTCAAAATAAACTTCAAAACAAAAAAAAATCCTAAATGGAATCCATTACTTCAGTACTACTTTGGAGCCTAAAATGTGTAATATGCATATAGCCATCTCCAGGAGGGGTGTGGAGGTTTTCAGCACTTTCCCGTTTAATTTTGGAATCATCACTGGTTTTTGTTGATTGGTTGGTTCAGTGTAGCCATGGAAAAGGTATTCTAAGGAAGACACTGTGGGAAACTAGTTTAACTTCCTGTGGCCTATACCACACTAATGATTGTCCAGCATCTCCTTGAATGGTTCATAATATCCACCGTCTGCAGCAAAAAGATCCTGGCATATTTCACTGAGCAGGTTGACAGTGAGTCTTAGTGTGATTGCACCTTTTCTAAAAGGAGCCTGCAGTGGGGTGGCAAAGAAGACATACTTAACTAGTCAAGATCCTTGATTTTAATCCGTCTCGCCTCTTACCAGCTGTATGGCCTGAAGCAAGATATTTAATTTCTCCATACCTTTAGCTTATCCATAAAATGGCGTTGAAACAAAATCTCCCAGGACTGTTAGAGCACTAAATGAGATAATATATATATGCCTGATAGAGTGATACCTGAATAAATGGTCCCCAAACTCCACATTTCGTTTATGTATGGTTGTCATTAGATGGTTTAGGGACACACAGTTTAACTTTGGAAACCAGGCTGCCAATGTACGGAGTTGTTGAGGTGTCCTGTTTCATAACAGAAAAAGGAAAAAAAAAAAAGGACTTAATGTCTTTTTAATGAAAGTGTTTGTTCGTTGTGGGGAAGGGGTACGGGGAGTAGAGAAAAATAAAAGTTGCCTGCCAGGTCTCTTTATGTTGTTTTCTCCCCCACCCCCAAGAACTGAGGGTTGCTCATCCTCTGAAGAAATAAGGAATTTCACAAAGCTAATATTTCCACTATAGATTGCACCAGGCAGGGCAGTATAGAATACTGAAGTATTTGTGACCGGACAGAGCTAGGTTCTGATCCTCTCTCTTCACCTCTGGGTCCCCCATCTGAAAACTGGCCAGCACACCTAATTCCATGAGTTGCTTTAATTAAAACAGTGATGGAAAATGCCTTGTAATCATGCCTGATGAGACATACAGTTGGCATTTAGTCAACATTATTTCCCTTCTTCTCTTCATTCCTAACAATGGGAAAGTGCCTGGTTGCCATGAACATGCACTACAGATTTTAAAAATGCAGATCTTGGGCTTCATAAGACTCTCCGCCAGTCGCTCTCGTATCTCTGTGTTGGACACATCCTCCTACTGCCTAGCTTGCCCCACAGAGTCCTCCTGAGTAGTTGCCCTTGACACCATTTGCTTTATTTATCAAGTCCTGCATTCTTCCCCCCAGCCCCCTGAGGGTGGAACTATCTTCTCAATCTCCTAAAGAGTACCTCCCTTCTCTAATTTCCTCCTCCAACTCCCTCCCCAAATGTTATTTTTTAATAATTGTCTTCTCCCTGCACTGTGTATTCCTTCTTCCCAACAGCTGAAATGCAAGATAGACAAAGAGAGGAGTAAAAGAGAGTAAAGGCCACTGACCTGTAGCCATCCCCCTCCCCCGCTCATACTGGCCTTTCTCAGAAAGGAAACTTCAAGACCGGAAACAACAGCAAACACACAATATTTGTGGAAACTGACAAAAGTATATTTTTAAAATCTCAGGTCTTCAGGGGCGCCTAGCTGGCTCAGTCAGTAGAACATGTGACTCTTGATCTCAGATCATGAGTTC